TCCCCGGTCATGAGAATACGAAGTTGATAAGTGAGGCCATCAACAAACCTCCTAATCCTCTCTCTATCTATCGAAACCAACCAAATAGTATGACGAGCTAACTCGGAGAACCTCATATCATACTACGTCATGGTCATCTCCTCCTGGCGCAACCACTCAAACTGCCTGTGTAGCTCCTCTCTGCGAGACTACAACACATACTTCTCCAGAAAGAGATGGAGAACTACTGCTAGGTAAGGGATGCTGCACCAGCAGGCCTACGCCTCTCAAAAGCCTCCCACCAAGTGAAGGCAGCTCCCAAAAACTGATAAGTAGTGAAAGCGACCCCGCTGGTCTCCAGAATACTCGTTGTACGAAGCATCCTCTGACATTTATCTAAGAAACCCTGAGCATCCTCGCCCTCTGCACCACTGAAGGTCGGAGGCTACAGTCTACCAAACCTCTCCAACCTACGCTGCTCATCCTCCAGCATAGCAGGAACTACATAGTCCTGAGCAGCTGCAACCAGCTGGGCTGGATGTGCCCCCGACGTCTGAAGTCCCTGCATGACCTGCTCAGGTATGCGAGTTGCGGGAGTCTGATTGCCTCCCCCGGCCTGAGAAGTAGTTGCGGCTGTAGTGGCTGAAACCGCCTGAGCTAGGCTAGTGCAAACTGATAAGATTTGAGCCAAGGCCTCCTGAAGACCCGGAATCACAATGGGCATAGCTGGTGCCTGAGCTGTGCTGTTGGAGCGTCCATAACTGGGACCTGATCCTGAACTGGGGCTACTGATGGATCTGCAGGTGCTACCCTAGCTGGTGTACGAGCCACACCTCAGCCCCTACTACAACAACGACAACGTCCTCAGCCTCTGGTGGCCACAGCTGGTGGTACTGGTGGTCGTCCATCCTGACTGGTAGCACTTCTCATCACCATCTATAAGAGAATAGAATAACAGAAGTTTAGTACTGTGATCAACAAATTCGCACGACGAGAATTTCAAGAATGTGAAGTTTTTCCTAAAGGTTCTGCAGCCTCTCGAGGATAAATACAGATGTCTCTGTACCGATCCGCGAGACTCTACTAAACCTGCTCATGACTCGTGAGACCTATGTAACCTAGGCTCTGATACCAACTTGTCACGACCTTAAACCCGGACCTGGTCGTGATGTCGCCTCTCGTGAAGACAAGGCCAGCTGACACTACCCATTTCCAATTATTAACTGTTAAACCATAAAAAATAAATCTAAAGCATGATAAGATAACTCAAAGTTAACAGATAATAGCATAATTTGCGGAATACAACCCAACACAGCCCGATACCGGGGTGTCACTAGTCATGAGCATCTAAACAATCCGGAATACTCCAAACCAAACTATAGAGTTTAATACAGAAAACCAAGAACATGATGAAGTAAGATAGGGAAGAGCTCCGGGCTGCGAATGCCAACAGCTACCTAGAGACTCCTCAGATCCACCTGAGCCGGAAATGATCAGCACTCGGGAGCGGGACCAGATACGCCTGAATCTGCACACAGGATGCATGGAGTAAAGTGAGTACTCCAACTCAATGAATAATAATCATATAAAGACGAAAAGTAGGAAATCACGTAAGGCACAAAAAACATGCTATAATGAAGCAGTAAAACCATTAAAACAATAAACCAGTGAAAGATAGGTAAAAATCCTTTAACTCAAATTTAACTTCATGAAAAGCCTTTTTTCAACAATTAAGCATGGTAATTGACAGGCAATTAAGAAAGGATAAACACATAAAGGTTCGTCCCTCAGGCACCGTATCAACAAATCCGCCCCTCAGGCAACATCTCAGAACAATACCAGCCCCTCGGGCTCAATCTCACATCACAGTCAGTACTCGCGCTCAATGGGGGTGTGCAAACTCCTGCAGGGCCCCTTACGGCCCAAGCGCAATACCAAGCCATCTCGTGGCATCATCACTACGCTTTCGGCCTCATATCAATCAAGCTACCTTGTGGCATACATCACTCAGGCCCTCGGCCTCATAATCAATATCAAATGTTTCCTCACAACATAGGCCCTCGCCTTACTCAGTCAAAATCCTCACAAGCCACTCGGGCAATAGTAAAACATGATTCTCAGCCCAAAATATCATTTAAAAGATCATTTAAGTGTTAAAACAGAGTAAACATGGCTGAGTACAAAAACAGTGAAATATATCAGGACTGAGTTCAAGTATAAAGTCAAAATAGTGAGGAAACATCAATAAAAGCCCCCGAAGGGTTCAAATAGTTGGCACAAAGCCCAAATATGGCAATCGGCCCAAATAATGATGATAGCAAATAGATTTCGGTCAAATGCGCTGTAAAATAGTCATTCGGGACGGACTAAGTCACAATCCCCAACAGTGCATGACCCCACGCTCGTCATCAAGCGTGTGCGTCAACTCAATATAGCACAATGATGTGTAAGTCTGGGGTTTCATACCTTCAAAACATCATTTACAATCATTACTCACCTCGAACCGGTCGAATCTCTAGCTCGCGACGCTTTTGCCCCTCGACTCGGCCTCCACTCATGTCGAATCTATCAAAAATCAGAATCACGGCGTCAAAATACACTAAGGGAACGAAGCCCAAGCAAAAATAATCAATATACGACACAAATCCCGAAATTACCAAAATCCGACCCCCGGACCCACGTCCCGAAATTCGATAATTTTTACATCAATATATTCCTTATCTCTCCATGAGTTCATACATATCAAAAGTTCTGAAATCCGGCCTCAAATAGTCCTTCAAATCCTCAATCGAAAGTCAATGTTTTCAAGCCCTAGTTCTTCAATTTTGGCTTAATTTCCATGATTATTTAGGTGGAATTCACATTAGAATCGAGTTTTAAGTCTAATAATCTTACCTCCAACTGATTCCCCTTGAATCCCTCTTCAATTCCCTTCAAAAAGCTCAAAAAACGACCAACAATGGAAGAAATAAACCCTAAAATCGCAGACAAGACGAGTATTTAAACATTCTGCCCAGGCCTTAATTCCTTCTTCGCGAACGCGGTCAATGCCTCGCATTCGAGAAGCACAAAAATGGCTTTGACCAAAAATCCTCTTACGCGAAAGTGACATGCCCATCGCGAACGCCATAGTTCCTCAGACTTACTCTTCGCAAACGCACTCCCTCTCTCGCGAACGCGATGAACAACTTGACCTCAAACCCAGTTGACCAATTTTCTCTACCCGAACACGCTCCCCTTCTCGCGAACGCGATGCACAAATATCCTGCCCTTAGAGAACGCGAAGGTTTAAATTCCACCTTCCTCAACTGACCCTTCACGAACGCGAGGGTCCACTCGCGAACGCAAAGAGTAAAATACCTGCAACAGCTGAAACCAAAATCTGCAATTTTCAACTTAAAATGATCTATTCAACCCTTCGAAACTCACCCGAGGCCCCCGGGACCGCAATTAAAGGCACTAACATATCCCAAAACCTTATTCAAACTTGTACCAATCTTCAAAACACCTCAAACAACATCAAATCAACCAAAACACATCGGATTCAAGCCTAAGTTTCCTTAATCTTCCGAATTCCGCTTTTGATCAAAAACCCAACCAAACCACGTCCGAATGACCTGAAATTTTGCACACACATCCCAAATGACACAACGAAGCTACTGAAACTCTCGGAATTCCATTCTGACCTCTATATCAAAATCTCACCTACCAACCGGAAATCGCCAAAATATCAACTTTGCCAATTCAAGCCTAAATCTACTCCGAACCTCCAAAATTCATTCCGATCGCGCTCCTAGGTCCCAAATCACCTCCCGAAGCTATCCGAACCATCGGAACTCACATCCGAGCGCTCTAACACATAAGTCAACATCCGGTTGATTTTTCCAACTTAACCTTCCGCAAAAGAGATTAAGTGTCTCAAACTTTACCAAAATCATTCCGAATTCGATCCGACCAACCCGATGCCACATAACACGGATAAACAAAGTATAAAAAAGCGAAAATGGGGAAAACAGAGCGGTAACTCATGAGACGACTGACTGGGTCGTCACAATTATATTGCTATATTCTTCTGCCTTATTTATTATATACCAGTAGGGTCGTGACCTGACCTCGTCACTACTCGTTCGAGATTAGGCTTGGCACTTACTGGGTACCATTGGGTGTAATCATGCTACTCTTCTGCACATGTTTTATGTGCAGATCCAGGTACTTCTTATCACCCTCGATATCGGTAAGCAGTGAGATTGTGGAGATTTCAAGGTATATCTGCCTGCGTCTGCAGACCTTGGAGTCCCCCTCTATTCCATCGTACTTTCTTAGACTCTGGTGTATAGAGATACTTAGTTTTTCTTCTATAGCTTGCGACTTATGACTACCGATTTTTGGGAATATTATTCATACTCGAGTGTTGGTTATTGTACATGTCGAACGGTATTTTTATCAGTTATTTAATTATCTGTTGCAGTTTAGTTGTTAAATTTTTCTTTCATTTTCGTTATTCCGCAAATGTTAATCTTACCTAGTCGTAGAGACTATGTGTCGTCACGACATCGCACGGAGGGAGAATTGGGTCGTGATTTGCTAAGTGTCTTTTGGTTCTCTAAGTTTAGTTCTGGTAATTTCATTTCTTAAAGTTTATTGAGTGTCTTTAGCTTCAAATTTAATTTTTGTGATTACAAAAATGCGATTAGTGTCTTTGACTTGTGTATATTTGAAGCACTTTGGTTCGCATTTGCTTTAGAGACAAACTAAGAAATCCAAAAACTAACTTTTAAATTTCGGAAAACTGAGTTTGAGAAACTTCATTTTTTTTTTTTTTGTTTTGCAAAACAAAGACAAAGAGAAATTTTGGAAAAAGAAATAGAGAAATCAAAAGGCTAATTAGGTTGTCGTTCCTGCTGATCCTCATGGTGCACCGCGTCACATCTGATTACCTCTTAATTTCCCGACAGTACAAATTCAAAATGAAGTAAGCAACGGTTAGTTACTTCCCCCTTACTCCCGCCCCTTCTACTATTCATCCTCAAAACTCCATTCGATTTCTTTTTTCTTCAACTATATTTTCCTTTCTCTCAACCCATAAACCCGACGATTGAGACTTCTCCCAAAGGTTTCCGTTGTGGCGTCGCTTGGTCTAGGCCAAGCGTCGTCGCAAAATTAAAAAGATGGACAATCCAACAGCCATTGTGCCTTACCATGACCCTTTTGATGATTCTTGTTCTATTGACCAAATTTCACTTTTTGATGAAAATCCAACCATTGGCCTCCCAAAATCATCATGGAATCAAGAACCTTTTTCATTTGATCCAACAATTTTGAAGTCTGATAATGATTTTGGCGTTTATGATCCATTCGATGATCCAATTTTTCTAGACATTCCATATGAATGTAAGAATAATTTGGTTGAAAATAGTACTAATACTGAGGCAGGAGTTTTCGCGACTAATTATTGTAGCATTTCGCAAGATAGGGTGTTTGAAAATAAAAGTCATGTCTCAGTTTGGCCAGTGTCATCATCTACATCTATGTGTACTAATAATTGCCAAATACTAAGAGAAATAACGCATTCTAATGGTGAGTGTATACACAATACATTGTTTTACATAATTAAATTAGTAATGTAACTTTTTTGTTTTTTTTTACTGGTTTTTTTTACAGGCTTGCAGATATCTAAGCTTGATATTTTTGGAACACTAGGAAGGATCAGTCATGCAGTTCTTGAGAAATACACTAGGGATTTTTCTTCTCAAAGCCACGAGTCGTCCCAAATATTTGAGTATGGAGTTAGTTCTTTTATTACTTTTCTATTTTTCCCTCTTTTACACTAGTTTATAATGTGCTTTGAATACTTGTTTGACGAAATAATTAACTTTAGTTTTTATCTTCTGCCTTAATAGTTTTAGCAAGGATAGTACAAGCAGTGTGAAGCAATTTTTAGTTCAATATTTTGAGGCTTGTAAGCTTGAAGGTTATATTTTGCTACAAGATCCACTCTGCGATTTCTATGAAGCATTAGGTGTTGGATCTGATGATGGTGATAGTCTTGACATCGATAGTCTACTTCAGTTATCTCCAACAACTTCGCGTCAGTAACTTGTTCGATCACTTCTTTAATCTTTTTTATTAGCTTAAGTTAACATTGTGAATGAGACCCTATTTGAATCTTTTTTAAATCATTAATATTGATCAACAGGTGATTGCCAAATGAACCAGCAAGAGATAAAAAACGAAGGCGAGGTGAACTGCAATGACATGAGATATGAAAAGATTCCCCTTTCTGCACAGGTTTGTAATATCTTAATAGGACTTGATTGTTACTATATATAGTATTTATATAACATTGTAGTAGTATTTTGCATTCTGATCACTTTTTTCTTTAATAGAGCAGAGGGAAAGAACTGGAAAGTTGAGATTGAAAGACTTTGCAGGATATCTCCATCTTCCCATTGAGGTAGCAGCTAAGAAACTGAACATATGTCCTACTGTCATGAAAAAAGTTTGTCGAAGGGATGGCTTGTTAAGATGGCCCTATCGAAAGGTCTCTTTCTTTTACCCTTTCACCACCACGCCTTATCTTTTAGTACTACGATAATCTGAGGTTATTCGTATTTTCTTGGAAATGATTGCAGATTAAAAGCATTAGGAGGAAGATATCGAAGAGAGAAAAGAGTTTAAGCTCTAATGATGTTGAAGAAAGGGCGAGCGCAAAGGCAGACATAGCAAAGTTGGAAGAAGAACTTGCCAAAATTTTTGAAGCATTTGTTGGCTGATTTCACTAATTTTGTTTCAGTTAAATCGCATAGGTCATCTCTTATGAGTTACTGTATTAGTGATGTTCTACCAATTTTGCTTAGAAGATTAGCTATTCATTAAATCTATACTGTATTTATACTTGAGGCGGATTTAAATGTACAAAATGAGCTCTATTGTGTATATACACTACATAGAAAGGAGTTTCATCTTTCTTCCTTTCCAGATTATTTTCTATGTTAAAAAGTTTGCTGTTTATTTTCTCCGCGTTTCCAAGAGTCTTAGACTACATTCCATTGGTTGTTCTATGCATGATTTCTGTTTGTACTCATGCTTAACTCCCTAGCTAGTTAAAGTACAAAAGTTTTGCTTATTGTATTCTCATTCAATAAGAGAATAATGCCATGTTCTGGAATAATTTAATTCTTGTCTTGTGTGTTGTTTTGTACTATCACTTTCTTGAATCTTTGCTCACAAGAATAACTAGAGCCGGCTTGTTCGCTAAATGACCCTTCGTAAACATCAAAATGGAGGATATTTCTCTAAGCAGTTTATTGAAAACCATAGTACGTTTTCAACGTTCACAACTAGAAATTCCTCTTCACTCACCTAGAGATGTCCGTGTTCAAGTTCATTAACTTTTTTTGACAAGAGGTTTGATCAGTGGTGGATATATATGATGATATTACGGCTAATCAAGAAATACTACTGTTCCATCTTCAAGAAGAAGAAAAAGAAAAAGAAGATGGCGAATTTTGAGAAAGTAGTTGGTGTAAAGAAAGTGAGGCAAAAAGATCCAGATGGATGGGATGTGACAATGCCACTCCCAGGGGACATAATAGAAGGCATTGGTGAATTAGCTGCTGGTGATGATTCATTTGTTCAGGCCAAGACATGGTCAGAGTTAGCTTTATTTCTTGGTAAAATTGTTGGACATTTCATTTGGTTGAAAGTTAGAAGGGGAGAGAGTAGACTTAAACTCAGGGGATATGTCTTAGTTGAACGACGTTCCAATCTACAGAAAAGGTTTGTGGTTAGAGCAGCATCTGATGAAAGACATCTTGCTGTTATAGCAGAATTAACTTTGGGACGTTGCACTGAACTACAGGGTACAATTTTTTTATTTTTTTTTCGCCTAATTTTTACACTGTCAATGTATATAACTCTCTAATAGGAACATTGTACATAAAGTGTTTAAGAACAGACTTTTTTTTTTGATGATGCAGAAATGAGCAGAAGAATGGTAAATTCAGGCTCACGGGGATATAACCAAATGGGATTACAATATGACTGGAAGATGAAGGTGGGAACCTATCTACCCGATTCTCGTTCCACAATTGTTAGCTCCATACTTTTCATGCCTTTAACTAGAGAGTATAGAGTAGAAGCCACAATGGTTCGAACCATGGCCTGGTTTTCAGCAGCAGTATCTTCAGGAATCCCCCTTGTATTCGTTAACATTCAAACCGAGCAAATAAGCAATTTGGTATTACTCTCTACCTTTTCTGATAATAAGGTTTGACTTACATATACACTGACAGTATAAAAAAAATTTACATTGTTAACCTGTTGTAGCAGGTAACGTGCCTTATTCAGGTTATAACTAACCAGTACCTGTCAGTGTAAAGTCGATTGATTATACTCTAACTTAAAGTTTCATTATGAACTAATTATTTTTCCTCTTCATGCTTTTTATGTATAGGAGAGGAGAAACAACACTAGTAACCAATCCGCGCAAGGAGTAAGGCTATGGTATCTGCCAGGAATTGAAGAGGTTCCACTTGAACTAACACCTGAACCAGGAGAAACCAGATTTGGAATTGACATTAAACGAACAGATGAAGTAACAGTCATCGCCTTTTCATTCCTGAAAACAGTAAAGTAAATAACGTTACTACGAAATGTTTAAGTTAAATTTCTTAACATGTTCTTTTTTTTTTGTTGTTAAATTTCTTTTTAGGGATTTGTCAGTATATACTCAGTAACAAAGGGGACAGCTGCAGAACGAGGCGGTTTAGTGCATTTATTTGAGCAAGCAAACAAAAGCGAGCAACTTCTTGTGATTTCAAGGCTAGAAGGAAAAAGTCTTTTGCCTTCAACTGTTAGCCCAGAAGGTCTAATATATTGCTGTGACCATAGTGATATTAAGGAAACTCTCAATTTAGCAATGGAAAGAAGTGATAGTATTAGACTGCATATCATGGCTTGGCCTAATCAAACAACTCAAAATACCACACGGTCGTTTGGTGCTGCAGTTCTTATGCCTCCAAATTGATGCCATCAATAGTTCAACACCATACAACCAACAACTAAGCCTCAATGGCAAGCATTCGGCAATATCAATTCTCATTGTACATGTCGCTTCATTTAAGCTTATCTCAGTCAGCAGGTCAACATCATGTATAGAAATAATGCCCTATGTATCAAAATTTTGTCGACTAATTGGAAAGAAGTGAAAGCATTAGGCATATCATGCATGTCTTGGCCTAATCAGGCAACTCAAAGCACCACATGATCTATTGGCACTCTTATGCCTCCAAATTGATACTGTCACCAGTTCAAGTCAGACCATGTATGAATAATCTGTCTGTTCGAAAATTTTGTGGACAAATTGTAATAACCAACTTGAACCTGCTTTAGTTAGTAATAGCAGTTTACATGAAGAAGAGGATTTGTAATAAGATGTAAGGATATATTCTCAAAGTTGTTTCCAGTTTTAACGATGTACTTGTGTACAAATTAAATTGCAGAAGCAATAGGGAAACATTCTTGTCCGCAAAAATTAGACCCCCATAGAAAAATTGCTTAGAATTTGCTGCAAAACAAACAGATGAGAATCCACATTAGAATAGTATCTATAGCAGGTCAGTTTAACAAGTCTTGAATTGAAAGTTTGTCTATTATGATATTGAAAACAGCATATATGAATGTTAGTGTCTGAGTCCTTTTAAGAGCACTAGTACACAAGATTGCTTGCAAAAGCATGAATAGCAAAAGAATATTTCCTTTTTGCAACCTTTTTCTTTTCAGAAGTAACATCCATGCGCAGTTTCCCATTTATATACTGGTAGCTAACTTTCATTCTTTTATCTAGCTAGTCATATATCTGGCGATCAACCAAATTGTTCAGCCAATAACTTCACTTAATCATCTCTTTATAACTAATTGTTCTGTCTTATCTTCAATCTTGTAAATTGACTCATAATATTCATTTGAGAAAAGAATGTTTAACCGACAAAATTAGATCTGTTAAATTTTTTAACAGTTTGAGATAGACTCAAGAAAATACTTCCTTTTTTTTTCTTTTCTTTTGGCGCCCCTAGCAACAGAAACATATGACATTACAACTTTAGAAGCATGCGCCTTCAAAAGAAGAGGACATCTTTTCAGAACCAACATTGACAATTTTCCCTATTTAACCACTATAAATACGATGCAGTATGTAATTTTGATATTCATTGATGCAATGGCAATCTTACTCTCCCTTCTCCTTCATTTATCATTTGTTCTCTTCTTGTCATCAACATCTATAGTCATTACCTTAGCTTCCTTCCCTGGCAGCTCATCATCAGCCTTATGGTTTATGTACCCTCCTCCTCCTCCTCCTCCTCCCTTTCACTATACATACCCATCCCCGCCTCCACCTCCACAGTCACATCACCATTACAAGTATAAATGCCCACCTCCACAGTCACATCACTATAAATCACCTCCACCGCCATCACCCGTTTACAAGTACATGTCACCACCACCACCGTCGCCCATTTACAAGTATAAGTCACCACCACCACCTCCTCTTGTTTACAAATACAAGTCACCACCACCACCATCGCCAGCTTACATGTATAAGTCACCTCCACCACCGCCGCCTGTTTACAAGTCACCACCACCACCTCCAGCTTACATATACAAGTCACCTCCACCGCCGCCTCTGATTCATAAACCACCACCACCGCCTCCACCTTACTATAATTATGTTTCGCCTCCACCTCCACACAAACATCACCGTCACCATCACCATCATCATCATCACCACCATAAGCCAAAATGGTCACCATATCCGTACATCTACTACAAGTCGCCACCACCGCCACCTAAACATTAACTTGCCTCCGGTTTACCGTGTTGTTTCTCCGCCACCTGTTCTCACTGGTTTGTAGTGCCACCGAAAAGAAAAAGAGAATCATGATGATGTTCCTTTAGGTAGTACGTATTTCTATTGGTGGTTTTTGACAATGTTGTAATCATATGTTTTTGTTTTGTATATACAATTGTTGTAGCAAGACTTTGGAGTAGATTGGGTACTTGAATAGTAAGATTATCTAAATAAACTATACTAAGATAATTGTAATCCTTATGCATAATTTGGTGGTTGGTGTACTTAATTTAGGAATTGTGCAACAAAGTTACTCATGTTACCATTACCTTCCATATAGATATATGCAAAACCTGGCCGTTACCGCAACATGCCACATTGATGATGGTTGCTCTATTCGACTCGACTGCGTCTTACATAGTCGTTTAATCGATTTGTAGCATGTTACCTAATTACTATTCCATCTGTCCCACTCTATATGACACGATTGGAACAGGTTCGTAATGCCATTTTGGATATGTCTGCAAAATTTCAAGTCAATCGGAGTTGTTTTGGATAGTTTCGGCGTCGTTGGTGGAATTTAGGAATTTCAAAGTTCATAGGCTTGAAATTGATGTGATTTTGGTGTTTTGATGTTGTTTTTGATGTTTCGAAGGCTCGACTAAGTTCGAATGATGTTATGGGACGTGTTGGTATATTTGTTGAGATTTTCGAGGGCCTCGGGTGGATCTCGAAAGGTTAACGGATCAATTTAGACTAGAAGAAAAGCTGCTGCATTTTTCACAGCAGCATGAACAGTAACTCGGGTGAACAGTAACTCAAGTGAACAGTACTCGGGTGAACAGTAAAACGCGTGAGAAGTATTTAAATAAACCATTCGCGACCATTAAACCCTTTTACACCATTTTTGAACGAGAAAAGAGCTTTGAGGCGATTTTAAAGAGTGAAAATCATTGTTCTTCATTAAGGTAAGGATTTTGGAACCTAAAACTCGATTATTTGTGATTAAGGAATAAAATATCAGTGTTTAATTCATGAAAATCGGTAGAAAAAGGTGGAGTTAGGGCTTGAGATTATGAGACCTTATAGGGATGATTTGAGGGGTCAAACGAACTCCGATTTTCGAGTTCTTTATATGTATGAACTCGTGAGATGATGAAGAACATTTTGGTATAAATTTTGTCCAGTTCCGGAATGCGGGCCCGGGGATCGAGTTTTGACTGATTTTGGGTTTTTTGCTTAAAATTGATATTTTTCAATTGGAATTCACTCGCTTAGCAAAATTTGATGATAAAAATCTGAATTTGGTAGATTTGGAGCACTCGGAAGTTGGTTCGAGAGGCTAGCGTGTTGCAGAGTAGCTTGTCGGGCCAGTTCGAGGTGAGTAATGATTTTAAATGTTGTTCTGAGGGTATGAAACCCCGGATTATACAACGTTCGGCAGTGTTAAGGTGACGCACACACTAGATAACGAGTGTGGGGTCGTGCACCATTGGGGATTGTGACTTAGTCCATCCCGCATGACTATTTTTCTGTATATTTGGTAGCTAATTGTTTGATATATTATACTTTGGGCTAAATGCGATATTTGGGCTTCGTGCCAACTGTTTGAACCCTTAGAGGATCGTTAATGATTTTATCCTCACTATTTAATTTCATACTTGTGCTCAGCCATGCCAGATATTTCAATGTTTTTAAAAATCAGCTATATTAATCTGTTTTAGAAACCTTAAATGATGTTTTAAAGATATTTTGAGCTGAGCTGCATATTTTTACTATTGCCCGAAGGGCTTATGAGATTCTGATTGAGTAAGGCCGAGGGCCTGTATTGTGAGGATACTTTTGTGTCGGGCTGCACGCCGCAGCAGTGATACACTAATTATGATATGAGGCCGAGGGCATGAGATTATACGCCACGAGGTGGCTTGATATTGATATGAAGCCGAGAGCCTGTTTATGATGCTACGAGATAGATTGATATTGCGCTTGCACCGTAAGGAGCCCCTCCAGGAGTCTGCACATCCCCAGTGAGCGCGGGTACCCATTGTGATATGAGATATAGCCTGAGAGGCTGGTGTTGTTCTGTGATATTGCCCGAGGGGCTAATTTGATGTTATTGTGCCCGAGGGGCAGTTCTTATGTGTTTACCATTCCTAGTTGTTTTTCCTATCTATTGTTGACTGCTTAAAAGGTATTTTTATGAGATTTCATTGTTAAATTGTGTTACTGATTTTGTTATGCCTCTGATAGCTAAATGTTGTGTTTAACGAGATTTTATATCGTTCAGTCTTCATTTATTCTTATTACTCACTGAGTTGGAAGTACTCACTTTACTTCATGCACCTCTGTGTGCAGATTCGGGCGCTACAGGTCCTGCTACTGAGGGTTGACAGTTCTAGCAGATCTTCGGAGGTTTACTAGGTAGCTATTTGGCGATTCGCAGCCCAGTGCAACCTCCCTCTATCTTATTTTTTTCTGATTCAGTTATTTAGTAGTGGAGTAGACTTTCCGACTGGTAGTATTGTTTTAGATGCTCATGACTGGTGACACCCTGATGTCGGGCTGTGTTGGCTTTTATTTCCGCAAATTTTACTGTTAAATGCTTATTTTGGGATTTTATTTCTGATTAAAGACTTAGTAGTTATTATTTTAATTGCTTAAAGTGGATTGGAAGTGAGTCGACTGGCCTTGTCTTCACGAGAGGCGCCATCATGACCGGGTTGGGTTTAGGGTCGTAGCATCTATATATTTAAAAACTAAATCCAACATACTATAAATCATAATAATTAAGAATTTAAAATATTTAAAAATCATATAAAAATTTACGATAAAAAACCTTAACTCTCCAAATAGTAACTAAGTGACATAAAGTGGGACAAATTTACTTGTGTTGTTCAATTTTATAATACTATATATCATCATTCTACCTATCTTATTTAATTGTTCAACAAAATTCGTCAGATTTTCCAAACTTGTCTGTGTGCATTTAGAATTCATGAAACATTGAAAATAAACGGCTACACAAAGCAAACATTCATGAATTTAAATGCTTTTGTGATGGAATTCTAGTGATCCTATATACCTCATGTATCATGTAGGAAATTATATTATCAAATATGTTCATAGTTTGCATATTATCCGTCATGTTAATAGTATTTCTACAAAATATAGAACAATTCATTAAATAAGGAATGTAGCTGCAGGCTTCTTTATTTAGGCGCGTTAATATTGGGGAATTAAATATTCTTCCAGATATTTTACAACGCAAATCAGGCATTAAAAATTATCGGCTGTTTCGTTTCAAAATTTAGCGACTCTGGTTTTGCGATACGCTATGTTTCATCATTTTTTTCCGATTTCATAAATCAAAAACGACTAAATCTTCTACAATTCTTCTGCAACAAACGCAATTATGTACAAAATCCCAATTATGCTACAACTTAATGGGAATTGGGATATCTATGGGAGATTGAGAGAATTTCGAATTTGGGTTTTCAAAAATCATTATTTGTTTGAATTGGGTATTGTTGCAAATAATTGAGAATATGGTTGGGAGTTTATATCTCAATTTTGAGGGGTTTTGGTGAAGATTAGACTTGGTTTTGGCTGAATTTCAGATTGAAACTCGAAGAAGAAGAAGACATGACATACATTATATTGCAGAAATTGTAGAAAAATTATATTATGTTGTTTACTTATTTTTCTTTTATTCATTTAACTATTGTATGAAATTTTAAAAAACAAAAACTTAGGATCATATCCGCTACGTATAACTGTTCGCGATTTCAATATGGAATTGAGTATCACTAATGAGAACATATGTGTATGTTTGTGTNCATATCATTTGAAAAATTAATATGAAAATACAGAATTTCAATGTTTCTACAAAATTTCTACAAATTGTTCATAACAGAATTTATCGTTATTTTCATGCATATTCGTCTGGAACACTAAAGTTACTTGATATGCCAACATCACCCGTTATAGAGGAATATAATTTTTCTACAACTTTCATACATTATTTCCGCCCAGTTAAATACAACTACAATAACATAAAACTTACATACAAATTGTATACAAAATTTGTACAATATGTCTTTTGTATATTTTGTATCTAATTTATACATAGTAAAAACAAATTTCATACAACTAATTATATATTATACAACTTATCTACAAATTATCTACAATTTCTGTACATTATTTCTACTAAGTTATATACAACTACAATATAATGCCACTTAAATACAATTTTTATATAATGTTGTTCAACTTTCATACAATAGTTAAATGAATAAAAGAAAAATAAACAACAGAATATATTTTTTCCACAATTTTTGCAATATAATGTATGTCATGTCTTCTTCTTCGAGTTTCAATTTGAAATTCAGCCAAAACCAAGTCTAATTTTCACCAAAATCCCTCAAAATTGAGATACAAACTCCAAGTCATATTCCCAATTATTTGCAACAACACCCAATCCAAACAAATAATAATTTTTGAAAATCCAAATTCGAATTCAAAGTTTCAAAGCTTTTTAATAGCTGTCAATGGTGGAATTGCTGCTTTATTTTCCTTTCCTCTTATATTACTGAAATTTGGGATTGAGAGATAGAGAGAGACGTAGAGAGAATTCTCAATTCTTTGCAACAACATCCAATCCAAATAAATAATGTCTTTTGAAAATTCAAATTCGAATTCAAAGCTTCAAAGCTTTTTAATGGTTGTCAATGGTGGAGGGGTTACAGATTTTCGCTAGTTTTAGAAGAGGAAATTGTGGGTGTGGTTTGATACGTGAGTGATGTGGTGGGATTTTGTCACGACCCCATTCCCCGAACCCGGTCGTGATGGCGCCTCTCGTGAAGACAAGGCCAGCCAGACCAAAACAGGTCACCTCTTTTAAACAGTTAAATACCATAAGTAGTTCTAAAACATGATATAATAATAAGTCGTAGTCTCCGAAAACACTGCCTGGACTGGGAGGCACGGGGGCTGCGGACGCCAACAGC